TGGTAGCCTGTCCTGGGCAAACCGGAATTAACTGCAAGCCCTTCACACACATCAGAGAAAAATGAAGAGACAGTACCCTTAAGAATGTTTCACTTTCAGTCATTAAGTAGATCTTGAGACTGCACCAGGTTCTGAAAAACTCTCCAGCACGGCCGGCTGGTGTGATGTGGCAGTGAGCAGCCGCCCGCCTGCAGCCCAGCTTTCGCCTCACCATCCGACACACACAGAATGAGCCCCCATTCCTTTTAAAGGCCTTTTGAGGCTGTAAAGGCTCTTGGGGACATTTTATGGCACTGGAGCACAGTTTTACTATTTTAAATTATTATAGGAGTTATGGTTACTATATCTTTACTTGTATGACAGATTGTCGGCTATGCCCTTGATTTATCTGATCCCAGGCTTTTGTTCAAGAGCACAACCTCCAATTAAATGTGGTTTACTGTGGCAAAAATATGATTCTCCTTAGAATGACCCTCTTTGGGGCCATTTCCAAAAACTCATTATGGTGACAAGTCAGGGCTGCCCACTCATGTTCACAAGCCTTTTTCCTTGTGGTCACTTGATTTTCCCTTATGGAGGATTAGAGAGTATTAAGGCTGTGGGCTGGGGCCCAGGGTAGACTGGAGGGAGAGGAAAGAATCTCTTCCCCCAGAAGCTAAGTGGGTCACTATTTAGATCCAGACTATTTCAGGAATGGAAGGAGCCTGAGCTATCAAGAGCTGTTTTCTCTTCAATGAAAGGAAGGAATTACAACCTTAAGAGGCTAGGAAGACAAGTCAGACCCAGGACTCAGGCCTGGCTCTTACACTGTCTTCTCTGTTTCACACTGACTTTTCTAGGTGTGTCTTGGGCGTGTGCATGACACCTATCCCTGTCTATCTTAGACCATTGGGGTATTTCTGCTATAACAGAAATACCACAGATGGGGTGGTTTCAACAACAGAAATTTATTTCTCACATGTTTGGAGGCTGGGAAGTCCAAAGTCAAAGCACCAGCAGATTCAGTGTCTGGAGAGGTCCGGTTCCTGGTTCATAGCTGGCCAGCTTCTCACTGTGTCCTCACACGGTAGAAGGGGTGAGGGAACTCTCTGGGATCTCTTTTGTAAGGGCACTAATCCCATTCATGAGGGTTCCACCCTTCTGACCTAATCACCCCAAAGTCCCCATCTCCCGATATAATCACATTAAGGGTTAGGATTTCGACATGAACTTTGGAGAGACACATTCAGTCTATAGCACTGTCCTCCTGTTACTCCAGGGAAGCAGCCCAAGACTTGCTTATGGGATGGCCATGACTTTTGTGAGTTCTTTGGCTTTCTCCCAAAGTGGGGAGCAGATATTGCTGTAACCTAGAGGAGGCTTAGGGTCTATTAGAGATAGACCGTTATTAATGCTTTGGATTCTATAATATTTATGTCACCAAAAAAGTGAATTTACAGTGAAGCACAGAGAATCAGCCACTCAACTTGGAGACCAAAATTGTGGTCCCAGATCTGCCACTTTACTGCTGGCAAATCATCCAGGCCTCTTTCCTTTGCTCTCTGGGCTTAATAATATGATTGGCCTTGCATGCTGTCACAGACACTTTTGGTACCCCACTCAGATCCCCTGCACCAGGCTGCTACACCCATTCCCAGCTGCTCTGATTGTTGACTAAGACCTGGGTTCCTGAATCCCTATCTCAGGTTCTGCTTGCTGGGAACCCAACCCAAGTCACCTCCCTTGTAGTGTTGCAAGAATCAAATAAGATTCTATATGTGGAAGACCTCTGAAGACTAAAGTATCACTGGGTTTTTACTGTGGTCTTAGACTGGGCTGTAAAAAAATCCCCCATCTGTAGCTTCTTGGTGGAAGGCCCATGGTGAAGGCAGATAAGGCATCCAGGGAGGGCAGGGCTGCTGTCACACAACCACGGGTGTGAGTCCAGGCTTCTCTTCTTTC